TCTCTGGAAATCTCTCTAGTGCCAGATCTCTCCTCGGACCTATAATGACTCCCTCTGATATGGTATCTCTCATCCTGCTCTCTCTCCTCTACTCTTCACCTGACTCAACATTTCTGCTCCTCCATTTCCTCCTCACCCCTCCTCTTCTCCTCCTCTCAATCTGGCAGCTCCCTCTCCCCTAACCTCATGATCCCAATTAGCTCAAGAGATCCTGCCCTTTCCCTTTCTTCGGGGTCCATGCATTTTTCTCTTAGAGTCTGTAATCCTCATCACCAAAGGAACTAGGAAACCAGGAAATGTGTAATTTTAATGTTGATAGTATTATATAATTTCGTGGGACGGAAGAGATGGCTCAGTGATGAAGAATGCCTGCTTCAAAGCTACTAGGACCTGCATTTGGATCCCAGGATTACATGAGAGGGAGATGGGAAGGTCATGGGATCTTATTGGCTATGTATAGTGTAAGTATATGTAGAGGAGATAGATGCTCTTAATAAGGAAGAAAAACCTGCCTCTCAGGGAAAAGAAAAAAATAAGAAAGAGAGAAAGTGACATAGAATGGTGAGAATTGGTAAAAAAAAATCACTTATTATTTTGAAACATGTGTTGCATGAGGAAGATGCAGGAATGAAATTAAAGAATCTTAAAAATCTTAAAAATCTTAAAATCTTAAAAAATCGTTTATTTCACAACTCAAAAGTTCTTCTGATGAATTTCAACACAATTTAGAAAATCCCATCATAATTTGTTTTCTTTAAAACGTAAGTAGCCTCCAAACTAGGTGAAGCCAGTGCTCACAGGACTGTCCGGTATCTCAGAGTTGTTTTGAGTTGCATTTCTCTGATGAAGCACTTTTTTAAATGTCTTTCAGCCATTTCAGATTCCTCTGTTGAGAATTCTCTATTTAGTTCTCTGCCCCACTTTGTAATTTCATTGATTGGTGTTTTGGTGGCTAGCTTCTTGAGTTCATTGTGTATTTTGGAAATCAGCCCTCTGTCATATGTGGGGTTGTTGAAGATCTTTTCCCATTCTGTGGGCTGTAGTCTTACTGACTGTGTCGTTTGCCTTACAGAAGTTTCTCAGTTTCAGGAGGTCCCATTTATTAATTGCAGATCTCAATGTCTGTGCTACTGGTATAATGTTCAGTAGCAATCTCCTCTGCCAATTTGTTCAAGGGCAATTCCCACTTTCTCTTCTAGAAGATTCAGTGTAGCTGGATTTATGCTGAGATCTTTGATCCATTTGCACTTAAGTTTCGTGCATGGTGACAGATATGGATCTATCTGCAATCTT